ATCATATCCCCCCTGTCTCGTCTTTCCTCCAAGCTATACATGTTAAGATCCTTTAACCTTTCCTGATAAGTTTTATCCCGCAATCCATGAACCAGTTTAGTAGCCCTTCTCTGAACCCTCTCTAGGGTATCAATATCCTTCTGAAGATACGGTCTCCAGTACTGTGTACAATACTCCAAGTGAGGTCTCACCAGTGTTCTGTACAATGGCATGAGCACTTCCCTCTTTCTACTGCTAATACCTCTCCCTATACAATCAAGCATTCTGCTAGCATTTCCTGCTGCTCTATTACATTGTCTGCCTACCTTAAGTCATCAGAAATAATCACCCCTAAATCCCTTTCCTCAGATGTTGAGGTTAGGACTCTATCAAATATTCTGTACTCTGCCCTTGGGTTTTTACGTCCAAGATGCATTATCTTGCATTTATCCACATTAAATGTCAGTTGCCACAATTCTGACCATTTTTCTAGTTTACCTAAATCATTTGTCATTTGGCTTATCCCTCCTGAACATTAATCCTGTTACATATCTTAGTATCATCAGCAAAAAGACATACCTTACCATCAAGACCTTCTGCAATATCACTAATAAAATATTAAAGAGAATGGGTCCAAGTACAGATCCCTGAGGTACCCCACTGGTGACAAGTCCAAGCTTCGAATATATTCCATTGACTACAACCCTCTGTTGCCTGTTACTCAGCCACTGCATTACCCATTCAACAATAGAATGTTGTCCTTATCCACACATAACTCCCTGTTCCTACCGTTCATGGTAGCAGATACAAGCCAGCAGCAAACGCAGAACAAACACAGACTTAAGAGGTACGTAAGTCATCCTAAATACCCCAGTACTACTCTTTATACCTGCCCAGCTTACACTCTACCCATTCTAGCTGCCCAGCTTCCTCTCCATCCAGGACTTCAGCACGGCACGGCCCATTGCTTCCCTCTGGAACCCACTTTGGAGGGGTAAACACAACATAGCACACATGCCGACTTATATTGCTCTGTCTGTAAACTGATTTAATGATCTGTGTAACCGTGTTACTGTGTGCAGGATGTCCCTGATAATTACACTCATCTTTCTCCATTTCAGATCTCCATGCAAGTTCAAATGATTCTATCAGGGCGAGTGGGATTCTGCGAGAACGAGATTATCTAATTATACATATGTTATTTATTTATGAAAATCCTAATAAAGTGATTGACAAACAAACGGACTGGGCTATTATTATCACGTGAACAGGAAGTGAAACAAAGAGAAAGATAGACTTCTACCACACTCAGTGGTACGAGCGGTGTCACAAGCACTGCATCTCTACTCTGGATATTGATACTGTCAGTCCAGGAGGATAAATAATTCATTAAGTCCTGAGTTTGAGAATATACCAATTGCTAGATTGGCACCATAACCACTTCTCCCTCTGGAGGTATTGCTAAAGAGGAATGTAGCTCCGCAGTAGCCATGTCAACTTCTATTGAACGACCTTAATCTCTACTAGGAGCGATCTTACTGATAGTTACAGTCACTGTACTAGGAGCGATCTCTTACTGATAGTTACAGTCATTGTACTAGGAGCGATCTCTTACTTATAATTACAGTCATTGTACTAGGAGCGATCTCTTACTTATAATTACAGTCACTGTACTAGGAGCGATCTCTTACTGATAGTTACAGTCATTGTACTAGGAGCGATCTCTTACTTATAATTACAGTCACTGTACTAGGAGCGATCTCTTACTTATAGTTACAGTCACTGTACTAGGAGTGAACTCTTACTGATAGTTACAGTCATTGTACTAGGAGTGAACTCTTACTGATAGTTACAGTCACTGTACTGGGAGTGAGGGTAACAGAGCTTCCTGTATCTATGGCTGGGTACCTCCGCCAAGGACCAGGGGACAAACCTCAGCACTCTTGCCCTCAGATGCCGTGGCATGACTGGGGGTTCTGGAGCCGAATGGGGAATTAGCTCAAGACACCCTCAGGCACTGGATGAAACTCAGTCCTGGGAGCTCTAGTCCTTACAAGGACTTGCCCCATAGAATCCCTTGCAAGCTGGAACAGCAGACACTGTTACAGTCACAATCTTCTTTCCCTCCAATAACAGGATGACTCACAGTTTTGAAGTGTAAGCTGCAATAGGATTTTAATGGAGCCACACTAGCCTTTTATGCAAGTTTCCCAACAAGGGTGACACCCAGGTGGACCTTGTTGGGCACATGGACACAAAGGGAATAAACCAAAAAAAATTACAATTTTATGAAACCCCCCAAAAATACCTTAAAAACACATAAAACCCCATAAATCCCCTGATAGCCCCGATCTGGGTGAACAACATATCCAAAAATAACCCAGATCAGTTCAGGAGTTCAGGAATTTCCTGGAAGTCATAATTTTGACCGACCGTGCACATGGCCCATGCCCAAAACAGTTCCAGGGAAATCAGTGCTAACAGTCGGTCAAGTTTGGTAGTCTTTTACAGGTTTCCCTGTTGGGCCCATAGTCTATGGGCAGGAGGCTGGCAAGCAGGCTCCTCCAGGAGCTCGTGGCAAACTTAGGTAAAAAGGGAAGTTTGTCACAGGCACTGTTTAGTGATTGATCCCCAACTTGGACCAATGGGTTTTAATTTTACCATGTGACCAGAGGTTTCATATTTTCCATAATTCCAAAGAGTATATATAGAAAAAGTACTAATTAGAAACAAGGTTAGGGTATAACTTTCCGCTCACAGTGAGGCAGTATTGTGTTTCCACATTTATTTGATTTGACTTTTGCAGTCTGTTATTATTATTATTATTATTATGACTTATTACTATTATTTCTTGTTTTAATCATTAGGTTCTTTATTGCCTATTTTTAGTACTGTATTATTGGTTAATTGGGGCTTTGGGACATAGGCTTTATTATTTTTATATTACTTATATCAAATTTAACTGTACTTACCCTGCCTCCCTTCCCTTCCCTCACTCCCACCACCCCCACCCCCCCCACCCCCCCCTCCTTTTATGTTTTCCTTCTCCTTCACGGTGCTCGGAGCTCGATCTCTACGTCAGCTTCGACTGCCAGGGAGCCCTCCCTTCAGTGGCTTTATTTGGCACTATTGTGACCGCATTCACAGTGCCGAACGCTAATATTCAGCCTGCAACACAGTCGACGCGTTTCCACGTGTTTATCATTTGCGAGCTTGTTCTCTCGAATTGCCACGTTTTGGTTTTTCTCTTGTTCGCATGCCGAACATGACATTCAACATTTGCTGTTATCCTACTTCATTGGAACAGATAAGGTTAGTGCGCTGTGCCTTTAAGTGATTTGTGAATACATTTATACAAAAATGTTTTGCAAGTGTAAAATCTTTATACACTGTATAGTGTATTAACAAAGCGACCAAGTGATACAATAAAGTGCAAAAAATACAAAGCTCTTACATAGACAACTTTAAAAAAGGGGACATATATCTAACCAGATGTTGAATGACTCAGGAGGTAAAACAGGGGAGATAAAAAGAAAGAAAAATATACATAGTGTAAAACTGACAAAATAGCGCAAAAATGGTATAAAAATAAACCAATCAACTCACAAAAGTGGAGCAGTAGAAGTCTGCGCTCACTGTAATAGCC